CGGTCCACCTATCGCAGAAGTGGCCCAAGGCCAGGCAGCCCAAGATCGTAGATGCGGCCCTAACTCCGTAGAAGCGGTGGGCCTGTCCGCAGAAGCGTCCCAGACTGCAGAAACGGTCTTCCTTCCGCAGAAGCGGTGGTCGCAGGTGCGGCCCGGGACCGCACATGCGGAAATCGCAGAAGGCAGTGGCCTTCATTTATTCGGGCTCTAGGCCATTTTTGCTTATTTTCACTCATTTCTTGGGCCATTTTGGGAGCTTTTGAGAGAAGACTTCCACCTAGCATCTTGAGGTAAGTTATCCCACCTATTCTTAGTTTAATACTTGAGTTTTGGGTAGATTAACACATATAAAAATTAGTGAAAATCATGGGAATAGAGTAAAACCTAGGGTTTTAACCTAGGGTTTTATTAAAAACAAGGTTCAACCACGAAATTTGTTATAGAATAGAGTAGAAATCATATATTCTTGATCCTTAGGTTATAAAGAAAAACTTTCTTCAAAAAATTTCGGAATCCAAGCACGTGGGCCCGGGATCGGATTTTAGAAAACTTGTGTTTAAGGTCGGGAAATTGCCTAAATAGTTAGAATGCGATCTTGCAAGCTTGTATTAACTAGTTCTTACCTCGTTTATTTAGTTTTGGATCGTTCGGCTCCAAATTGAGAGTTTGAGCTCTTTCTTGGTATTGGAAATATGCTTTGGAGCGAGGTGAGTCTCCTTTATAACTTCGTAAGAGGGAATTGTCCCCATAGGTGAATTAATTGGTTATGTGCTCCTATTTGTGGGGGCTACGTATGCACGAGATGACGAGAGTCCGTGCATAGCTACTATTATGCCATTGTCCGGGTAGTCTAGGACCCAAAAACATGCTATACTTGGAATATCTGTAACCTTATTGACAATTGATTGCTTAAATCATATCGAATTGGTAAATGGATTTCTAAAAAAAGAATTAAACTTTATTTTTCTAAATTGTTAAAGAAAATTGGTTTTCTTTAGATAATTGTTTCCTAATGACTTCTTGATTGATTGTATGTGCGTGTTTAAATTCTGGAATGGGCCGAACGCCTCAGCAGATTAAATAGATGCATCTACGGTTCGCGTCGTTCGACCCTCGGCAGTGCACATTTTACATTTATGTTAGATCGGGCCATACAACCTCGGCATGATTTGCGCATGCTTGTATTGCTTGCCTGGAAACTTATTGAAGTTGTATTGCCTTTTCCCGGTTTGAGAATATTTGTATAAACGATGAAAAGTAATTTGGAAATTTTCTATAAAAGAAAGAATTTCTTACCTGCTTCATTTTATTGAACTACAATCATGTTTATAAAAATCACCGATTTACTATATTATTGAGATAATATTATTGGACCAATAGTAAATGTCAAAGTCGACCTCTCGTCTCTACTTCTTCGAGATTAGACGGGATACTCATTGGGTACACGTTGTTTTCGTACTCATACTACACTTTTGTGCATATTTGTTGGACAAGCACATGCATCTCTAGTGGCCTACTGGGCATAGCAGCATGGTTGATACTGAGAAGGTGAGTTGCATTTTCCGCAACAACCCGCAGCCAACAAGTCTTTTTCGGATTAATCTATTTGTTTTCTGTCCAATATTGTATTCTGGACGGTTGTTGTATTCCATTATTTCGTAGAAATTGCTCACGTACTTGTGACATCGGGTTCTGGGATGATCACGAGATTCTTTAATAGTTAAAATGTTGTAAAGACATCCTCATTTATCCAGCGGAGTTTATTATTTATTATTTATTTGTTTAAAGTAAATGTTTTCTAAATAATTAAAATGAGAAATTAATTATGTATTTATGGTTGGCTTGCCTGACAGCGGTGTCCGGCGCCATCACGACCCTTAGTGAATTTTGGGTCGTGACAGGATAAGCGTAGAACGCACAATATTCCGGGCGATCAAATTGTATGATATTGTCTCCCATCGCTTGCAGCATTTTAACATGGTGAGGGATCCCCCATTTGGTTCTTAGCTCCGCAGTCCCCGCCTCAGTCATAACAGAGGGAGCAGGTTCCGGCTCTTCTCTTGCAGGACTATGGAAATCGTTCCACGACTTTCCAAGGCGAGGCAATATTTCGGCCTCCGTCAGAATCCCCTCATTCTCTATCACTTCTACTCATCCGGGAGCAAGAACATCACTTTACGACGCCGGAATTGCGACAGGATTGTCAGCGAGGGAAGAACTACCTGCCATTTATATCGATTTAATAGAACAAAGGGCTTAAGAAAATGAAGAGATTGGGACGAAAATTTCCGGTTAACCGAAGAGGACCGAAAATCTGAAAATATCGAAAAAGAGGAAGATCTACAAAATCTTTCAACAAAGGCAAGAAAAGTGTGCTAATCGAATGGTGTTTTTCCTCTATTTATGGGGACATAAATTCCCCAAGCGGGAAACCCAAGAGTCTCAAATCGAAACTAATAAGGGCACGAAATGGTTCAATCTCCAGGAAACGTGTGTCATAATGGCAGTAGCCACGAACGATATTTCAAATCGAACAATGCTTCGATTCCGAACGGTTGCAACGGTCCAAAGGTATCGTTACAATGTCGTCCCATTGTCTCGATCTAAACACTACGCCCAAGGTACAGACAATCAGATTTCTTGTAAATGTTCAAAATCATAATCCGTCTACTGGGCCCACCAATAGATGACCCCGACGGACGGAGAGACTAATTGTATAGGTCAAAATCTGACCACAGTAGCCGACCCAATTGGGATCCCGCCTAAGTGGTGGGATAATGAGAGACACCATGACCTACTTCGGTCTAAGCACCCACAGTGCACATTAAGTTAAAAACAATGTTCAAGCAACGACAAAAATGGTCACAGCATGAAGGTACATCGTCCAAAGAAGATATCAAGGACTCTAAGACTATATATAGGGGGGAGAACTCTCAAAAAAGGGGGGGGGGGGGGGGTTTTTTGGTTTTT